TTAGTTTTGTCAGAGAAGGGTATTCTATGGTCATTTATATATTGTAGGTGCATGAATTCAGCAAAATATTCCAATATAGTCCAGTAGTCCATAATAGTAGTGGGTTATCTGCATGACTGGCAATGTCAGAAGTTGTTGACTTGAGCCTTTTACAGCTCAGTGTTGTAATATGACTTTACTTTTTATACTTCATTTTTATACTTTTCTGCTGGATTGTTAAAACCAAGATAAAACCAGAGCTATATAACAAGAAATGTAACTTCTGTACCTGACAAAGTTAGTCAAATCCCCTTAGGATTTACCCTGAAACCCTGTATCGTACTTTGTAGATCCTTTGTCAGTGTCAGTCATGTGGATGAGTCACAGCCATTGCTTGACTAGTTTGCTCTCTGTGAAAGCCTGAGAGAATGTTTTCTCTCAGGTGACTCACCTTAGGCACACTCTACATCATCCATCACTTTCCTCTGTAGCCTGATAATCTCCTTAATTAGTAGATTTAGGACACAACTGAGTTATAGGATGTTTCAATACAGGTTCTCCTATGTCCTGAGTCCTCACTGACCTTCAAAGGCTAGGGCCAAAATGTTGGCTGTAAGACTCCAATAAAATAATAGTTGTGGATTTCAACACCCAACTTCCACTATTGGATATATCACCCACCCCTAAAGGAATTAAAACCATACTACAGACCAAATAGGTCTAACAAATATTAATAAAGCACAAAATATATATTCTTCTCCTCAGTATGTGGCATATTCTCCAGCATAAACAATATAATCTTTCACAAAGCAAGGCTCATTTTAAATGTCAGAATAACATATATCTTTTGTAATTGTAGTGGAAAAAATCAATAAAAGCAGCTATGAGAATTGCACAAGTACATGTATAAATGTGCTCCAGAATAAATAATGAACCGGTGAGGAAATTAAAAGATAAATCAATGAGAAAAAGAGTGAAAATGCAACATACCAAAACCTCTAGAATACTGTAAAAACAATACTGGGAGAGTTTACAGCAATAAGAATCTACATGTTAAAACATAGATGTGTTTTATCCTGACAAGCACTTCAAAGAACTACACACACCAGAAGAACAAAATTGAGATAATATAAATATGTTTATGTTTTATGTAATTTATATATTTTTAAATTTTTTAATTAATTATAATGAGAAAATAAAATAGCACTGAACGTTTCAAAACAGATTGGTAGGAAAATTACAATAATCAATACATTGCATATTGTTTTCTTCATAGTAGTTATTCAGAGGACAAGACACAGACATGATATTTTTTTCTAAACATTATTAGTATAAACCTTTGTTCTCATTGAATGAAGACAAATTAGCTGTATATCTATCCTAGCTATTTTGCATATACATATAAAAATATGGAATGCTTCATGAATTTGTGTGTTATCCTTGCACAGGGGCAGTGCTAATCTTCTCTGTATCATTCCAATTTTAGTATATGTGCCGCTGAAGCAAGTACTATTTATTCAGATGGAAAAATAATACACGTTAGTGAAGAAAACCAACAATTGGCTTCCTGAAAAACTAAGGAAAATCAACAAATGTTTTTATTTTTTTTCATTTTTTCCCCATAATTTTATTGATAAACAAATAGCAATGAGACAGTTTCAAATCAAATTGGTAGGGCAGTTTCAATAATTAACACATTGCATACATTCCTCCTAGTGGTTAATTGCTGTGCAAGATGCAGACATGATATCCTATTCACAAACACCATTAGAAGAAATCACTCTATTCATTAAGAGAATGTAACTATATATCTATCCTAACCACTTTGAATACACAGATACAAAATGGACATCCATCTGTATACCCTTTTTTGGTTAAGTACTGTTATTTGAATATTATAGGTCTGTTAACTCAGCAAAATATTCTAAAAGAGTCCAGTAGCCC